AGTGATTTGAGATTACTGCTCCACAGGTCGCCAGGAATGGACACTATGCATTCGCAGTCACTAATTTCTATTGACTCGAGGGAGGTGAGGTTCTCCAGGCAACTGGGAAACCAGGCAGAGAAATCCCCACATCTCTGTAACCGGAGCTTTTGGAGGGATGATGGTAATGACATTCCACAATGCCAGTTGAGGTTTTTGCACCATCCAATCACCAAATTCTTCAGACGAGGAAAACTTCTGAATCTATCAGCTGGTAGGGACAGCAAGCCACAGTATGTAATCTCAATGCTCTCAATGGCAGGGAGATATATGAGGTTATCGATAGTTTCAAGCTTACCGCAGTTCCGAATGGCTAGGTGAGTGAGTTTTGGGAACCTTACCATTCTGCTTCTGGCCCCGCCAAGGGAAAGCTCATAATCTTTAATGATTGTTAGAGAAGAACAATTACGGATCTCGAGCTCCTGCAGTAACGGAAGATTCCACATTTGCAGTTCGATGGATTCAAGAGGGTTGTATGATAAATGCAAGATGGTGAGAGAACTACACTCAATGTTGCCTCCGAGATTCCCAGAGTTTTCCAGATCCAGCTTCTTCAGGGACGGGGCAAACAGGTGTTGTGATTTGATCATTGGACAACGGCACACACACAGTACTTCAAGGAAACGCAAATCTTCAAACCTCTCTGCTGGTATGGATTCTAAACTTCCACAATCTGAAATTTCTATTTTCTTGATGATAGGCAAAGAAGCAGGTTGTAGAAATTGTTCGAAGTTTTGGCAACGGTCAATGACAACATCAGTTAGGGACGAGAAGGTGCTATCATTGCTGTGATGACTATGGATTTGCTCTGAGTTCATAGAAGATGATATGCTGTTGACATTGTCCCAAGAGACAAGCTCAAGTGAAGTTATATCTGGCATGTTTTGTGCATGAAATCCACGTGGAGGAGATTCGCCATTCTGGTTTACGAACTTGAATTGCCTTCTCGGCTCTTTGTTAGTTGCACCTTCTTCATGATGAAATTGATATTTCTCTGACTCAAATTTCTGAAGATTGATCAGCTTAACAAAACTGCTAGGAATGTCATCAATGCTCCATTTCGTAGCATAAAATATCTGCATGTTATAGAGGCAACAGAATTCTGAAGGAAGGCTCTTGCAAAGGCTAGAGTTGAGGATTTTGAGGTACCGAAGTAGCTTCATATTGCTAATACTACTTGGTAAGCCCCACTTAGAGATAGAAGAACAGACCATGACACGCATGCACAAAAGTTCAGTGCACCATTTCTCCATCACAATGTTACCAGTTTTACTCTTTAAAGACAGGTCACAAAGTATGGTGCGCAGCTTTTTATGCTGTGCCATGTCATGCTTCAATAAGTCAGAGCACTGGACATCTCCGCCTTTGAGCACCCACAGATGGCGGACATTCTGAGGGATCTTCGGAAGATCCTTAGTGTCTTTCACTATGAAGCACTCGTCCTTTGACACCAGTTGTGCCATATCATGAATTAAATCATGTATTACATATTTCACTTGGGAGCGTGGATACTTCTGAAAAAATGACAGATGTGCAAGTTCTTCAAAGTACTGGTCACCAGTATGTCGATGTTCTACTAAGCCTTCTGCCACCCAAATTTCAGCTAAATCTTTCTTTCTGAAATTGTAATCTTTTGGGTACACAGCACAGAATGAGAAGCACCTCTTTAAATAGAATGGTAAATACATGTAGCTCAACCGAAGAGCCGGCAAAATGTCAGTATCCTCTTGTCTAAGCTCCCATAGCTGACTCTTGAGAATTCTATCCCAATGTGCTAGGTCAAGGCTCATTCCTAGCAGCCGTCCAAGGGTTTTTGCAGCTAAAGGAGAGCCTTTCAACTTTGGTAGTATTTTCTCACCAATCTGTTCCAACTCAGGATCATTGGAGCTATCAGATCCAAACACACAGACTTTAAAGAACTCACGAAAAACATCTTCTTTCAAACCCTCAATGGGAAAGGGATCCATCGTACGCACTACACCAGCAACCTTTGGAGATCTAGTGGTGACAAGAACCATACTTCCCTGAAGTACATTTCTGAAAGGTGCACAGAAGTGCTTCCAATCCTGCTCATTTTCATTCCACATATCATCAAGGACAAGTAAGAATCTTCTAGCGTTCAGGCTATTTGCAAGAGTACCCTGAAGAAAATTCAGATTATCATTTTTTGGCACTTTCCCACAAGATTGTTCTATGATTTCTTTAGTTAATCTCTTGACATCAAAATCATCTGAGACACAAATCCAAATTATTAGGTCAAAGTGACGTTTAACTTTTGAATGGTTGCAAATATCTTGAGCCAAGGTGGTTTTCCCAACACCCCCAATTCCAACAATTGGCAAAACTGGAACACTCGTTATTGTTGCTTCATTAGTATCAATGGTAGCACAAATTTGGTTGCCTGCTGATAAACAAACTGCACTTCTTTTTCTCTTATGTCCAGAAGGACCCGCGCTATTATTTGTTGGTACACAAAGCAACATGATCAGCTTATTCTTTTCCTGATCACGGCCAAAAATCTTTGCCTCAGTGGGGAAAGAGGTGGTCTCAAGCCTAAATGATTTGCCAAACCGTGGAACTGCTTGAAGTAAGCCCATTTTCTCGAGCTGTCCAGCAAGATGATTGAGCCTCTTCTGGATATCAGACACCTTGTTGAAGCTGCCTTGAGTGACACTGTGAAAGAAGTCAATGACTGGTTCCACTGAGATTGCATCGCCCTCTACTGAAAGCTTTGTCTTGTACCATCTGAACTCATCTAGAATGTCTTCTGCATCATACACTGCATGTTTGAGTATTGAAAGGAGCTCAGCCACATAACGATCATGGATCCTCCACTCTGCTCGATCAATGAGGTTGTACATTGCTGGTAGACTATCAGTAAGGCATTGAAGGTCACGCTGCAACAGCCTTACATCTTCATGAAGTTTTTCCTTTTGTATTTCATTCAGCTGAAGTTTTGGAGATGAAATGGCCGATGTAAGCCACTGGAACAAAGTGGCGCACTCATTCAGGCCATTAATGGCACTGATGGTCTTTGGTATGTTGATTATGTTCACATTTACTTGACTCTGAAGATTTCGGCTTCTCCAATCCTGGACAAACAGTGGATGTATTGAGCATTAGAGAAGTACATCTTGTGGTCAGATTTTCAATGTTAGTAAAAGGTATAAATACGATATTGCTGTTAAGAAGTCAAATATGTCACATTTTTTTTGTCATAGAAAAATAATATGATTGACGAGTGCATAAACCCCAGATATCCTCACCAACCCTATTATCAGCACTCAAAGACAGGTTAAGCCAAGCCAATTGGCTTATGACACTCGCGACTTAGTGGCGCTCCAGCCAACTGGAATCCTAAGTTGGAGGGCGCCAATTGACACTTTGGGGCTCCCGACTGGACCTCGTCCACAAATATCAAGCCGCTGGTGTCATATGTGATCGATTTTGCATGTTCATCTGGGTAAATCCAATTGATGCCTCCGCACATGGAGATTAGTGAATAACTTGTCGCTGTGCAAGCTAATTTCTAACAACAGATATAGATAATGCACTGCATCTATAAGAGGACACAAATTAAGATCAGAAAAATGGAGCATGAGTGGTTATTTTGTTCAGACGTGCATATTAATTTGGACAGTCTTATGAAATTAAGTGTGGAGAGGTGCAGTGCATATTGAGAGATCATACCTTCTCAACGACACTGGGGGGATTTCCAGGAGATGTACATTTTGGTTCTACTGCATTTAGACTTTGAACTATGTCCAGTGAAGTAGGCCTTGTATTCGACTCAGGTTCCAGGCACTTCAGGGCTATAGAGATGCATTGTTGCACTTGTTGGATACACATTTCTGGTGACATATGCATGGGTGTTATTTCTATAAGTCTGTTCCTCCAACTTCCAACCACCTAAACATTTGCACAAGTAATTTATCAGAAAAAGACATTTGCATAAGTAAGGTAGAAAATTACAGCATGTAATAATACTGATCTTACTTTGTCTGTATAGTGCTTGAGAGATGTTTCAGTTGTCTCGCTGATATTGGGATAGTCCCTGCGACCTGTGATTATCTCTGTGATAATGACACCCAAACTGAATATATCTGCCTTAAAGGAGATACATCCCTGTTCTATGCATTCTGGTGCCATATATCCACTGCAGAAGAATTTAGCATAATCAGCGGTAGGAAATAGTAAAAAAATGAAGCTTCAGCAAGAGGCATAGCTTACAGCGTTCCTTGAAGCTTTGCAGTGACAGTTCTGGATTTTTCTTGACTCAAAAGCCTTGACAAATCAAAATCCGCAATTTTTGGCATCATCATGTCATCCATCAGTATATTTTGAGGTTTAAGGTCCCCATGAGCAATACGACGTTTATCATGAAGATAATGCAAACCTCTGCATACTCCCGTAATTATCTTATATCTCTCGTCCCAATCAAGGCCCGAGGTCTCATCTGTAGAAATAGATCAACAAACAGAGAAACTATAATTGAATCTATCACTCTGTAGCTGTTGATATAATGACACATTTGCTTGTGTGTTCTAAACTTCTAATCAGGTAAATTTTGCAAAGGAAAAGAAAAAGATAGAAGATCTCAGTATTGTATTTCAACATACCAGATAGATGCTTGTCAAGGCTTGCATTACAAAGAAATTCAAAGCAAAGCAAACATGCACGTCTTTGAGCCACAACATGTTTCCCACTATATTCCATCACTTCCGACTTGGTTTCGAGACAGTAACCTACAAGTTGTACGATATTTTGGTGCCTGACATCCATAAGACAAATGATCTCATTCTCGAATCGGTTATCATTGTCCAGCAGATGTTTATCAAAAATGTTCTTTACAGCAATAGTTTTGCCACTCCGGAGAACTCCCTTCATAGGATGTAGGTAAACAATTCATTATCTTTCAGTTGCCATCGGTTGAAATTGGAGTGAGAGAAGAATGGACATACCTTGTATACGACTCCAAACCCACCCGTGCCAAGTACTCGTTCAGTGGAAAAACCGCATGTGATGTCTTCCAAAAAATCTAGTGGCAAAGATATTAATGGTTCTGTTTTTGGATCCTGCAGCCTTTTCTCCAATTTTTTCTCCAATATTTCACGTTTAGTAGCTCCACTACCCATTCCTGATTACTTGAGCACTTTTATAGGAAAAACAAATGTGGGTGCTCCAACTTGAAAAACAATTTCTCACAAATGCATACAGGAGAACAAGAAACCAGCGCTATTGTGGGCTAGCAAATTGATACGAGCTGTTTTGTATGAATCCATATAAGCATATCAAAACCAATGATGGAATAAACAAAGAATTCTTGTCGAGTAAAAATGACAACTTCTAGATAAATCACATTTGATACTAAAAATAATTCAAAATAATTCTACGTATAAATGTAACAGTAATATATTACAAAAAAAAAATCACTCAGATACCAGAAAGGAAATATAAAGTATATGCAGTATCCAGATTTATAATGATTATTGATAAGAGTTCTAAACTCCACCATCGGATGAAAACAGAGCAAGTGAGCAACCATGAAAAAGGCAAGAGCAAGCATCTGAGACATTGCTTGCTAGTGAACAAAAATGGAAATAAAATTTTAGGAGAGATGGACTGACCCCTTATTGAGATGTATAGACAGAAAATATGAAGACGGGATAGGTCACAAGTAGGATCTGCTTCAACAAAGGGGATTGCCAGAGTAGGGAACCAGAGCAGTACGCCTCAGCAATCCAAAATCTACGAATTAATAACAACCAGAGCAGTTCAATGGTTAAAGCAGAGAATACTTGGCCCCCTTTAACAGAAAACAAAGTAATAATAACAACTGTAAAATAGAAAACAAATTAATCCAACACGACGGGATGTATGATTGATGCTTGGCCATGCATGTCTTAGTATTTGATTACCTTTTTGTGTGCCTCTCGCGCGTTTGAACCAAGTGCTGACTGCGAAGTGTCAGCTGTGCTCGATGAGCAGCTAGCGGATCTGATTTATGACTTGCCAGAAGCGCGTGCGACCTGTGGTTTTATTTGATGGGGAAAAAATCAGATAACTTGCAAAGATGAGTATGACGGAAGGAAAGTGGAAATGCCGAAGCGAGAGAGTAGTTTGACTTACAGGTTCAATCTATTGCGTAGATCGACATGTTACAGCTAGCAGATCTGCTGATTATACTGGCTATGTCTATGTGCGAGAGAAGAGAAGAGGAGAGCTGAGAGCAGGGGGGCTTACTGGCTGGACCGACTGTCTCTGAAGTCTGAACTCTCTCAGATCAGGAGGCTTCATGCATGTAAATTGTGATGTGATCTGGCGTCGTCAACTGTGGCGGTCTTCCCATGTATACTTTAATTTCCACAGCTAAAAAGTGTACCACTGTCCCTAAAAAAAAAGGTCTATCACTGTCGCTCCACACAAGCACCAATGTACCATTTATCGGCCACAGTTAGGGATGCATTCCAAAATGTCCTATGTGGCTGTACTTAGTGTTTGTTTAGTTCCTAAAAAGTTTTCGAAAAAGTGCTACAGTAGCCATCACATTGAATCTTGCGATACGTGCATGGAGCATTAAATTTAGATGAAAAAAACTAATTGCACAGTTTGGTTGGAAATTGCGAGACGAATGTTTTGAGCCTAATTAGTCCATGATTGAACACTATTTGCCAAATAAAAATGAAAGCACTACAGTAGCTAAATTACCAAAATTCGCGAACTAAATACGGCCTTAATTAGTATTTCAATATTCTTCAAGCATGTGAAACGCACTACACCATTCAAAGGTGGCGTAAAGGTTCTTGGAACAATATAATTAGCAACATGGTCCGTTTATTTAGAAGCACTAAACGCGCGTCCATGTGCTGCACAGTTCTACTTTTCAGAATTTTGAATCTTTGGCCCTGTTCGCTTGGCTGGAAAAACGGCTGATGCTGATGCTGATGCTGATGCTGATTTGTTGTAAGAGAAAAACACTGTTATTTCGCTGAAACGGTACGGCTGATAAGTTCAAACGAACAGGGCATATTCTGGAGCGGCGACTGTGGCACGCATGCATCTGCTGCTTACTGTCTATGTGCTAGAGAGGCGGAGAACTGAGCTAGGGGCTTACCGGCTAGATCGACTGTCTCTGAATTCTCCCAGATCCGGAGGCTTCATACATGTAACCTTCCTGGAAGTGCCGTAGGCAACTATGGGATGTGGCGGTCTTCGGTCTTCCCTACACTTTAGTTCTCACTTTTTTTAGAAAAAATCTACATAACCCCCAACTATTCAGGGCGGACTACTTCACCCCCAAACTATAAAACCGGATTTTTTCTACCCCTAAACTTTTCAAAACCGGTCAAATAACCCCCCAAGCGGTTTTGGACGGCGGTTTTGCTACAGTGACGATGATTTTGTATTTTTCTTTTTTATTTGTTTTCGTTGAATCTTTAAAAAATTATAGTAAATCATAGAAAAATCATAAAATAGAAAATCCAATTTTATTGGACTCCACATGAGTAGATCTGCACAGTGAACATATAATATGGTATGCTTTAGTACAAAGTTTTTGTTGTAGCTTTAGATCTATATTTTTTTTGTAATTAATTGGAATAATTCATAACTACAGCTTCAATGGTTCAATTATGGTGAAATTTTTATGGTGGGTTAATTATTGTATGCTTGAACTATAGTAAAAAATTTCATACTCATTGGATTATGTATAACTTAGTTATAGATTAGTTATAGATTTATTTAGATTTATGCTTGTTAAATCTATGCTTTATCTAAAATGGCTACCATACCAAATTTTAGCACATAACCAAATGACAGCTAAATGGTCCAAGCCAAATTTTGTCTTGGCTACCTTGCATATATTTTTTCCACGAACCAAACACAAAAAAAACTAGGGGCTACTCTAGCTGTTGCCCCTCTCCAGTAACAAGTTATGTAATATAATGTAAGTGTTGTAGTGTTGTGCCCCCACTTATTTTGCACAGAACCAGGAATAGCAAATAGATAGATCACAGATACAACACATTAGGCATATAACAGAAACCACAGTCTGTGAAATGTTTTTTCATGTCAGTTTGCAACAAAGGGAAGAGAACAGCCGCAAGAACATAACAACCAGATTCGGCCATTCCGGAGAAGTGATTTGTTTTGTTTTCTCAGTGGGTCTTGACGCTTGAAACCCTGCAGCTATTTGCTCCGTCTCAACCGTCTTTAAATTCCAAGTTGCAACTGTCATCGAGAAGATAGCACAATGAGGGGGAAAAGACCACTCTTCTATTATAATGAAAAATGTAAATGGAATCAAACTTTTTACTAAAATAAAACAACAGAACACGCACATACTCAAAAGTGTTCTAACATAATTTTGTGACCATAATTTACACAGCTTACAAGTGTCATACATACCATAGAAAAAGATCCTGAGCCTGCGTGTCCCTCAAACTTTGGGCAGTCTTCAATAACTACATGTCTTATGTTTGTAGTTGCGTTTGGTCCACCAATTGATATAAGCTCTGGACAATGAAGCAACGCCAATCTCTGAAGTGATTGTTCGAGGCTTGATAACTTTTGGCAATTTATAATTTCTACATCAGTCAGGGACGAGAAAGTGCTATTAGTGCTATCTTAACTGTGAATCTGCTCTAAGTTTTGTGGATGAGTACAGCTTGGAAGAGATTCACCATTATAGTCTACAATCCTGAATTGCCCTCTCTGCCCTTTGTCAGTTGCACTTGCACTTTCACGAACATCCACTGAATGTATATGTCTATGATGAAATCGACATGTCCGTGACTCAAATTTCTGCAGATTGATCAGCATACCAAAGCCGCTAGGAATGTCATCAATCTGCCATGTCACAGCGTAAAATATCTGCATGTTATAGAGGCAACAGAATTCTGAAGGAAGGCTCTTGCAAAGGCTAGAGTGGAGGATTTGAAGGTACCGAAGTAGCTTCATATTGCTAATACTACCTGGTAAGCCCCACTTAGCGATAGAACAGACCATGACACGCATGCACAGAAGTTCATTACACCATTTCTCCATCACAGTATTATCAGTTTCACTCTTTAAAGACAGGTGGCAAAATAGGGTGAGCAGCTTTCTATGTTGTGCCATGTCATGCTTCAATAAGTCAGAACACTGAACATCTCCGCCTTTGAGCACTGACAGATGGCGGACATTTTGAGGGATCTTAGGAAGATCATTTTTTTCTTTTACTATAAAGCACTCGTCCTTTGAAACCAGTTGTGCCATGTCATGCATCAAATCATGTATTACATATTTCTTGTGGGACCGTGGATATTTCTGGAAAAATGACAGATGTGCAAGTTCTTCAAAGTACTGACCTCCAGTATGATGAAGTGAAATGTTAGGGTGATGTTCCACTAAGCCTTCTGCCACCCAAATCTCCACTAAATCCTCCTTTTTGAATATGTAATCTTTCGGGTACACAGCACAGAACGAGAAGCATCTCTTTAAATACAATGGTAAATACATGTAGCTCAACCGAAGAGCTGGCAAAATGTCAGTCTCCTTTTGTTGAAGCTCCCACAGCTGACTCTTGAGACTCCTATCCCAATGTGCTAGCTCAAGGCTCATTCCTAACAGTCGTCCTAGAGTTTTTGCAGCTAAAGGAGAGCCTCTCAACTTGAGTATTTTCTCACCAATCTGTTCCAACTGAGGATCAATGTTGGAGCTATTAGGCCCAAACACACAGAACTTAAAGAACTTCCGAAAGACATCATCTTTCAAACCCTCTAAGGGAAAGGGATCCATTGTACGCACTACATCAGCAACCTTCGGAGACCTAGTGGTGACAAGCATCATGCTTCCCTGAAGTGCATTTTTAAAAGGTGCACAGAAGTGCTTCCAATGCTGCTCATTTTCATTCCACATGTCATCAAGGACAGTCAAGAATCTTTTCTTGTTCACGCTATTTGCAAGAGCAAGCTGAAGAGAATTCAAATTACCATTTTCTAGGACTTTCCCAGAAGTTTGTTCTATAGCTTCTTTAGTGAACCTCTTGACATCAAAATCATCCGATACACAAATCCAAATTATCAGGTCAAAGTGACCTTTCACTTTTGAATTGTTGCAAATATCATAAGCCAAGGTGGTTTTTCCGACACCCCCAATTCCAACAATTGGCAAAACTCGAACACTCACTATTGTTGCTTCATTGCTATCAATAGTAGCACAAACTTGGTTGCTTGTTGATGAACTGACTCTTCTTTTTCTCTTGCATCCAGAAGGACCTGAGCTTTTATTTGTTGGTACACCAAGCAACATGATCAGCTTCTTCTTTTCCTCATCACGACCAATCATCTTTGCTTCAATGGAGAAAAAGGAGGTCTCGGGCCTAGATGATTTGTCAAACTTTGGAATTGCTGGAAGTAAACCCTGTTTCTCAAGCTGTTTGGAGAGATTATTGAGCCTCTTCTGGATAGCAATCACCTTGTTGAAGCAACCTTGAGTGACACTTTGAAAGAATTTAATAACTGGTTCCACAGAGATAGCATTGCCCTGTACAGAAACCTTTTTCTCATACCATCTGAACTCATCTAGAAGGTCTTCTGCATCATACACTGCATGCTTGAGTCTTGAAAGGAGCTCAGCCACATAATGATCATGGATCCTCCACTCTGCTCGATCAATGAGGTTGTACATTCCTAGTAGAGTATCAGTAAGGCATTGAAGGTCACTATGCAATTGGCATACATCTCGTTGAAGTCTTTCCTTTTGTGTTTCATTGGACTGGGATTTCAGAGATGAAATGGCTATTGTAACCCACTGGAACAAATTGGCACACTCATTGAGGCCATTAACGGCACTGATGGTCTTTGGTATGTTGAATATGTTCATATTTACTTGACTATGAAGATTTTGGTTTCTCATATCCTGGACAAACAATGGATGTATTGAGCATTAGGGAGTATATCTTGTGGTCAGATTTCTAATGGTGGTAAAAACGAAAAAATATAATAATGCAGTTAATATGGCAAATATGTCACATATTTTGTCATAGAAAAATAATATGATTGACGAGTGCATAAACCCCAGATATCCTCACCAACCCTATTATCAGCACTCAAAGACAGGTTAAGTCAAGCCAATTGGCTTACCACACTAGTAACTTAGTGGCGCTCAAGAGCAAGTCGCGATGAGAGCTAGGTTCCGCACCGGCAGTGGCAGCGGCCAGCGCGCAGGCCCTGAGCACGCTGGAGGAGTAAGCAGCGCGTCTTGCACGCTGGTGGGCGCTCGGCGGCCCCTTTGCGCGTCTTGGCGCGAGCGCGGCGCGCAGCGGGAGTCGCGGCGCGCCACGTCGAGGCGCGCGCTCAGGCCGGACGGCACGGAGGGCTGCGCGCGCGGCCAGCGCGAAGCGAGGCGTGGCGCAGCGAGCTCGCGCGACTGGCGTGAGCAGCGGAGCGCCCAGCTGCTGGCGGGCGCGGCCTGGGCTGTACGCTGCGGGCGGCGCGAGCGGAGGCAGCGAACACGCGTCGTCGTCGCTAGCCACCTGTGGTGGTTCTGGAGTTTCTACGCCCTAGTCATGGTCCGCCCTGCTTCCTCTCCGGGTGCTCTCATCGAGCTCGAGCAAGATCCTGCCCTGGCCGCCTTGGTCAGGAACTGGGATTTCTCTCCGGGTAAGAGATTTGGGACTGAAGTGTTGCAAAGATTTTCGACCTCTGTGCATCATCCTTCTCCTACTCCGGATGGGTCGTTCTTCCTGCTAGCAGTTTTTCGGCGCTACCTCTTCCGTTTAACTGAAGACTCTGTTGCCATGGCTCTTCACTGCTGCTTGGGTGGTTCTCCTGCTGGCTTCCATGTTGTATTTGAAAGCAAAGTTCAGCTAGGCGCTGGGCGGAATCTAGGCGCTGACCCTCAGCCTAGCGCCTAGGCGGGATTAATCGCGCCTAGGCGTTCCTAGGCGTTTTCCTAGGCGTTTTCCAATACATGCTTAAATTTATTAATACATACTTAAGTACTCAAAAGAAAAGAAAAATAGAAGACCAATGGTCATGGAACAGGAGAAGAGAAGAAAGGCCCGTAAAACGCCCAACCCACCTTATCCACCGTTAAAACGGCCCAACAGCACCTTATCCACGCCTCCTCCACACACTGCCGCCGCCGCGCTTTCATCGCTTGAAGCGCCGCCCACACAGAAGCCAGCAAGGCAAGCCGCCGCCGCCAACAGCGCTATCGCCGCCGCCACAAGAAGCTGAGCAAGCGCCGCTTCGCCGCCGCAGCCTCCTCCCCCCCGACCGACGACCTCCGCCAGCGCCCTCCACCACCACCGCCGCCCGACGACGACGCCGCCACCTAGGGGTCCGCCTACCCCCATAGGCGAGGCGGACACCCTCCGACTAGAGCCTAGTCGCGCCTAGGCGAGCGCCTAGCGGAACTATGTTTGAAAGTGATCGTCATTTTCGCTTCTCAGTTAGCAATAAGCAAGTTGGTTTTCTAATTCGATCTCTCAAGCGAATCACCACATAGCAGTTTGATGTTTATTTCCATCTATGGCACGATGGTGGTGCCAATTGGGTGAAAGAAAAAATCAAGTGGCAGAAAGAAGAAGAGAACAGCTGGACCATCCAGACAAATCGCAAGAACAGGCGGAATTCTACTTGCAAGAAGGTTTCATTTCATCACAAGCTCGTCCAAGACTCACCAATTACCAAATCTCAGCCAAGAGAGCTCAACTCTGTAATCAAGATTGGTAGTTTTTATTGCCCTTTTGATCCTATTGATTCCTCCTTAGTTCGGGATTTCACTGAGGATTCTCTTCCTTTGGACCGGAGTTTGGTACCGATTTTTCTCAATTCAACAAAGATTTTCACAAAGGGCCTCGAAGTTCTTGGTGTAGCAACAGAGATGTTCCATGTACTACTGTTTTTCAAAAACTCAAAAGAGATCTTCGCATTGATGAGAATGGTGGTCGTTCCAACTCGCCCTATGCAAGATAAAGAAGCCATTAATGGGAATGCCCCCAAGGTGATCGCTTTATCTTCCCTCTAATGCTTCCTCATTGTTGCTTTAGATGCCTAAGTCCGTGGCACTTCGTTAGAGATTGTTTAAGTGATATTCATTTGATTCATCGCTTTAACTATGGTCACACAAGGCCCGAAATCAGGTGTTAAGCAAGGCGCCGCAAAAACTTAAATGGGTTTCAAGGTCCGATGAGCCGCCCTCGTTCATGGAGCCAAGCCACACTCTTCTTTGAACCCTCCATCCAATGGGTGCATGGGCCCAATGCTCCTTTGTTGCTTCACTTGTACCGCACTCCTCAAATACGAAAACTCCTCCCTTGACACCCCTTGGTGACCGAGAATCAAAGCCAACACCAGCCCCCACCCACTCTTTCTCCGGCTCAGGCTCAGCTCCAAAGATCTTTGCTCCTATGACAAACTTTGCACCAAATGAGGAAGATCCCCCACACACAATGGTAATCTTCATCCCTTTGAGGGACCCATAATGCCGTGGAGAAGTTCAAAGGTGTGGTGGAAATGGTCGACCAGTGATGGATAATTTGGTGGCTGCTCATCGATCCAGAAAGACATGAATCGGGATCGAACTCAGGGGGTGTTTCACCAAGTCGATTCCTCTTCACCATCAGAGGAATACATCTTTGGTCAAGGCTCTATCGTAACAATTGAAGTAGTACAAGAAATTTGAACCTCAACACCAATGCTCGGGCTCGTGAAGTCGACCCAATCCAAAATGCTCTTATCCCACACACAGTGGATAGACCTATGATACCCCAATCTGAGACTCGAGAGAGAGAGATCGAGAAATGCTATAACCAATTTCCTAGTTAAAAGCACAAAAGCAAATGATCAACAATCAAAAGGCTGCCGGTGTCTCAAGTTTTGGTGGAAGCAGGTTCAATCCCAAGCTCTTTGATCCAGATTGATCTTTCTCGCCTCGGGAATTAATTCTTTCAACATTGCTATCAATATTAATGAGCGAATCACACCACCACCCCAAATGTTGGTGCTTGCGTCCACTCGAGATCCCGCCAGCTCTGAAGACCTCTAACCAACTCCAAAGATAGCAACTCATTAGCGAGCTTTCCCACAAGAAATGCCCTGTCACAAAAGTTTACTACTGAGGAAAGACTCAAGAACAAAGCCATAGAACACGAAATTCAGCTAAGACAGAACAAGTTTTCCTGCAGACCTCCACAAGATTATGCTCTCATAACTCATGGTGCTCCGATTGATCCACTTGCTACTGGTAGTGGGAATGGAGATGAAAGTTCAAGCAAAGCCACAAAGAAAAGAAAGCTCAAGACTCCCGTCTCAACGAGTTTGCTGAAATTTGGATTGATTGGATTGAGAGGATTCTTGCTTCCTCCTCTTCGTCCTTCCGAATGGTGTGCCAGCAACCACTTTCACCGTCGTTGGGTTAGACAAGGTGACCCCTGTCACCACTCCTCTTTGTGCTTGTCATGGATCTCCTTCAATGCATTGTCAACAAAGCCTACCAAAGAAGGTTTGTTTGAGCCGCCTATTCCTTCTTTTGAGTCGGATCAGGTTCCCCATTGTTCAAGACGTGACGACACTATTCTAGTCATGAAAGCTTCTCGAGAGAGAGTTATTCGCCCTAAAAGGCCTTCTCGAATCCTTCTAGCAATCGATGTAGTGAGAGTCAACTACTGAAGTCTTGCCTTGTTCCCTTAAATCTCTCTCTTGAAAAAGCACAACTCCTTGCTTGGTGTCTTCGGTGCAATTTGGAATCTCTCCTTTTAACTACCTTGGACCGCCGTTGGGAACAACAAAACCTCGAGTTGAACACTATGGTCCCATTATGACTAAAGTTGAGAGAAGGCTCACGGCAACTTCTACCTTCCCCGACCCATGCTTTGAAGGCTTCAATTAGTCAATTCAGTCCTCTCTTCACGCCCACATATGCCATGTGTACCTTAGAGGTGCCGGCTTGCGGTCATTGAGTATATTGATAGAGCAAGACGTCACCGCCTTTGGAGAGGTTCAGATTCCAATGCAAAGATGAAACCACCGGTGGCACGGAGAAAATGTTCAAAGCCAAAAAGAAAAGGAGGATTAGGAATTATTAATCTTAGGAGTCAAAACAAGACCCTTCTTTTGAAGCATCCGGACAAATTTTATAATAGGAAGGATATCCCATGGGTGAAGCTGATCTGGAATGCGCATTATTCCTGTGGTCAAGTGCTACATGCTTGACGGATAGGGGTTCATTTTGGTGGAAGGATGTCCTAAAATTATGTGACATGTTCAGAGGAATTGCAAAGTGCACTTTTGGAGATGGTTCCACTGTGCTTTTTTGGTCTGACCTTTGGAATGACAACATCCTAGAATCCAAATTCCCAAGGCTCTATTCCTTTGCCCGAATAAGAACATTTCAAAGGGCTGTGTTTTTGTCTAATAACACTGAGGCCCAATTTCACTTGCCCTTATCGAGAGCAGTGCCTTCCAAGAATTCCAAAGTCTCGAGAATTAATTCAAGATCTGCAGTCGATCGTAATTCAAAGGACTCCTGGAAATACATTTGGGGAAGCAAGAACTACTCCTCATCAAAGTGCTACAACTTTCCTTACAAGAATATACAGCCCCATCCCCTTTTCTCTGGATTTGGAACTCCAAATGTCAGAACAAACTTCGAGTTTTTTCGTGGCTCCTCTTGATGGATGATCGAACACAAGGAACATTCGAGAAGGAAAAAGCACAAGCTTCAGGGAAACAACTACAATTGTGTTCTATGCAGCAACAACAACATTGAAGAAACCGCATTCCATTTGTTCTTCACCGCCTTTTACCCAAGCCCTGCGGCAACACCTTGGTATAAATTGGGACTTCACAATGGATTTCTTCCTGGATGATCACGACAAGCCAAGGCTCAACATAACAACCCCTTTTTTATGG